ATGCCTCAGATTATTAAAAATGTTACCATATTATTATTCGAAATTCTATGTCCGGTACGTTAACATAATTTCAATGTCGGATAGATAATTCTTTATAGGACATATAAAGGATTTTCTCGAGAATATCCTGGGAATTATCCCAGAGTAGCTTGCTTTCAGGATTTTCCTGAATAATAACATGATTCTCTCTGTTATTCCCTTTTTTTGCCATAACAGCCTTCGTAATTCTCTGCATACCCCTTTTGAAATTCTCTCCTGGAAACTCTTCAAATTTACTCTACAATTACCTTTGTTTTCTCAATAATTCTCGAGGGGTTGCGTTTACATTTTTCTCCATAATTGAAAAATTAACCGTCCTAAATTTACGCTAGACATATTCTTAAAACACTGGAATAATTAATATCTGAAAAGAATTATCCTGGAACTCTCGAAAAGTTTCTTCTTTACATGAAAATCTAGCAAAGCATTCCCAAATCATCCTCCCAAAATTTATAATATTTTTTTCTCAGAATTTCTCTAAAAATTCCGATGAGATTCTTCTCAAAACTTTTTCACGATTCATATTGACAATTATCTTATTGAAAACTACAGACTACATTCCTAACGGTCAAAAGTTATCCGAAATAATAATTTTTGACCCAAGTAATAGCTTCGGTTTCATCATGATCATGTAGACCTTGATCTTGTAGAACCTCGACGAAATATGTTGTTATTTAAGTGTTTTATCATATTTAGCTATTTCAATCAAATCATGAAATCAATGTCTCACAACCAGGCAAAACCGGGAATTTAATGTTTTTTTTTTTAATCCGGTTGCCCCCCCCCCCCCCCTGAGCTAGAAATGTTGTATACCCGAGCAAAGTCCAGCATCAAAATGACGGCAAATTGAAATCAAGTTTTGACATCAACATCAAATTGAAATCATAATTTGATTTCAGTTTACGCAATTGGCAAATTTGATTCCATTGGGTGCTGTACATTTGATCTTCAAAAATATGTTGTTGCAGGTTTGTTTTCATTGCCTTAGCATAGCATCAAATTGAATATTTGTTTTGTTATCAACAGGAAAAATTGATATCAAATTGAATTTTCAGTTTGCTCTCACTGATAGGAGAAATAGTTTTCAATGTGATTTCACAGGAAAAAATTTTTGCTCTCAATTTTGATATTTTACCCGTTAAAACGACCAGAACGACAGCAACCGATGTAATCGTTATCAGCGAAATCACAACATCAAATTTAGATTTCAATTTGATCTCAGACTTTGCTCGGGTAATCACTCTGATGAAGCAACGCCTACTGTGCGTGACAAAACAAGATTTAACTTTTGTGATATAAATAATCGATGACGTAAATGTATAAAATCTGCCAAACTCATCTTCATGGTTGAAATCAATGATGGCTAGCTCAAAATTTTACAAGAGATCAACTAGATATGAATTATGATTTTTTTTATATTCTCGAGTCACGTGATCTGACACCACACCCAGCTAACAAGGAGAAGCCGTCAACTAAGCCTGAGAAAATACACACATGAACTACAAACATTGAGGGCAGCATGAAGCACAGTACTCCATAAGATAGCGATATTTATTAACATCGTTTGGTACGATGGTGCAAGGTAGTCGAGCAGCTGGAGTAATTTTTGCTGCTTGATATACTAGCTAAGAGCATTTCACAGCTCGGAGCACGGCATGATTTTGTGTTTGCTAGGGCTTCTGATCATGCAACGGATCCGAGTCACGACATCTTCGTAGTTGTGAACTATGAAGACTTCATCAATTAGATTGTTAGCATTGCTTGATTCTGTTGGCAAACATTAAATCTTTTATGAACGATGGCATATAAAATGAAGAAAATTTTAGTAAACCTTTTAGAGTTGATTTGAAGAATAGCAGAGTCACGCAGCCGCATAATTAAACAATTTTAACCCTGATAGACAGAAAAAAGGATATTTTTTTTCAGTTTACGGATTGCGACCGGCTTTCCGAGATTTGATAAATTAGAATTCAGGGAAGGAAAATTCATCAGCTAGTACCTGCTTTAGGTTTGCACAGCAGAATATAATGCACATATTGCTTTGTTGCTTTTTATCATGCGATAATATTTAGCAACATTAATTTTAGGAAAACTACTATTGTGTTAATATAGAGGTGATAATCACAAACTGCCCGGTCTTGATAAATTGCTAGGTGATAATTTAGGTTGTAAGAAAATGTTCACATGTCAGACGGTGTCTAAATCTAAGGATAAAAAAAACGCCAAGACACTGACATGCCACGAAATGCTAGCTAACTTTCCTTCTACATCAATCTCCTTCAACTTTAACCCACTCCTCAGTGATGCGAAGATCAACAACGTTGCCTGAAACGTGAGCTGGTACGGACATTTCATTCTCTCCTGATCTATTCCCGTTGTTGTAGGCAGTGTTATTGCATTTTATCATCACCAGTCCAGCCGGCATTGTGGAAGGATAGTCTTTACTTTGAGTCAGGAAGTTAAATTGAACTGAATAGAAGCTGATTGTAGAAGAAATGCAATGCCAAGGCCAATTTGATCCCATCGAACATGATTTGGACGGTTCGAATGATACTAGCCTAAAATAATGTACAATGTAGTAGGTGTGGATGAATACCACAAATATGATGTATTATAATAGTAGGCGATTATGGAGGCGAACCAGCCTAAGGCTGAAAGCCTCCTAAATAAAGCTAAATAATAATAATAGTAGGCGATGAATTAAAAGAAAGCCTGATTATTGCACCTACCGTTGACTAGTGCCTTTCTCGCAGCATTAATGTGAAATAAAATAATCGTAAAATATTAAACGGCATTAATGCTTGCTTCATGTCCTATTCCCGTTAATATCCCAGGGGCACCAGGAACATACCGAAGTGTTACCAATGTTAGAGCACTCGATATCAGTTCCTTAATAATATTTCAAATGTGAATTTTCAAATAGCCGTATTTGTTTTTTTTATTCATTCTAGATTTCAGAAATTCCAGTTTATACGAAAATGAGCGAAATAAGGTAGCCATAAGCGGCGCCGGTGGTGTAGTGGTAAGCGTGATTACTTCTCACCCCAGCAGACCTGGGTTCAATCCCAGTCGGCACCACCGGGATGTTCCGAGGCATAACATCTCTTCCTTCGGAAGGGAAGTAAAGCCGTTGGTCCCCGGTTCATGAGTTGATGGGTCGATAGGTAGGGTCCAGGTGTGGGAGCTGCCTCTCTGGCGTCGGTAGCATTGGTGCTCAGCATGGAAAACAAGATCGACGGAAAAACAAATCAAGGAAAAAAAAAGGTAGCCATTGTGGTTCATGGTGCTTGATATGACTACTATTTATCTTGTTTTCGAATTCTCATGTGATTTGAGGAGTTGCATGATGTGTTTTGAACCTAGTCGGAAACTGGCCGTGATGATGATAATGATGTGTTGTGTGTTTGTGTTTTGCTAGTGATATTATAGCCTTTTGGTACACTTTGGTGTACGAGAAAGGCAATAACATAAATATAAGTGACCTTCGAGCAGTGCACTCGACTCTCAAAAACGAAACAAATCGGTATATGTATCATTCGCAATGATGGATCATCTATCTTAAATATTTTTGAAGAAGTGAAACCGACTTGTTCCAATATGGTGGCTTCCGGTTAGAGAGAATCAGAAAAATACTGTTTAACAACCAACAATATGGGAATTTTTGGAATCTGGTGACGTGTAGGTACCGGAAATCCATGTCTGACGTTATTTTGAAATTCAAGATAGTGGCATCCAGTTACAGAAAAACATGAAAATATTGTCCAATACCCCACAATGTCGGTATTTTTGGAATCAAGGTGACGTGTAGGGACCGGAAATCGATGTTTGACGCCATTTTGCAATTCAACATGGCGGCATCCGGTTACAGAAAATCAGAAAAATACTGTTAAATACCCCAAAATATGGGTATTTTTGTAATCTGGGTGACGTATAAGGACTGAAAACCGATGCCTGACGCCATTTTGAAATTCAAGATGGCGACTTCCGGTTACATAAAAAAGCAAAATAATTTTAAATAACCCACAATATGGGTACCTTAAGAATCGGGGTGACGTTTTAGAACCGGAAATCCATATCTAACGCCATTTTTAAATCAAAAATGGCGACTTCCAGTTACAGAAAAAGATAATAAAAAATACTGTTAAATGTCCCACAATATGGGTATTTTTGGAATCGGGGTGATCTGTGAGAACCGAAAATCCATGTCTGACCACATTTTAAAATCCAAGCTGGTGGCATCCGGTTACAGAAATACTGGGAGATACTGTCAAATACCCCACAATATGGATATTTTTGGAATCAATGTGACATATAATTACTGAAAACCCATGTCTGACACCATTTTCAAATTCAAGATGTTGACTTCTGGTTACATAAAAACAGAAAATAATGTTAAATAACCCACAATATGGGTATCTTTAGAATCGGGGTCATCAATCAATCATCAAACAGAAATCCATATCTGACCCAAGGGGCTGGTCACTCTACACAGTGTGCCAAAATCAAACTAGGCACCAGTCATTGGAGCTGTTTGGCACCCATGGGGACATTTTTTTATGATCTTTAAAGTTACTGGCAACACTGAAATTTTTCTGCGCCTGCGCAGTTTGCATGTGTCAAAATTTGTTATTGATGTTGCCGCAATATAATCAAATTATTTTCAAAACACAACCGTGAATCTCAACCAAGTCTCACCATGGATTCTCACAATTGTTACACCCGTGACGGCAGTCGCGTCCACATTTCTTCCTAGACGAAGAACAGCTGACAGCGGTATCTTGACCTGACCGAGGTTTCAGACCATGGCTACACGAACTAGTGATGCAGGTCCCACGGCTGCGGCTGCTTCCAATGCTGCTGCTGGTCCGTCTTTTCTGTCGAATTTTAGAGAAGACGGACCAGCAGAAGGAACAGCAGCAGCAGCAGCATTGGAAGCAGCCGCAGCCGTGGGAGCTGCATCACTAATTCGTGTAGCCGTGGCCGACGCTGGAAATCTTGGGCCTGTCACGACAAACGGTGCTTGAGTTTTAATCGGAAAATCAACAACCAAACAAAAACTATACCATCCAACCATTAGAACTGCTCGAATATTGGAGGAGGAAAAGCACAGCTTCATAATGAACGGGAATTTTGTGCCTTTGTGATCGATCGCGCTGTGGTTGAACTTCATGATGGCGTACATCGCCAGGGCTTCTCCCGGGAACTCGATCAATCCAAAGGAGGAACGTTCCGATTTCAGCGGGAACATTCGCACTTGCGACGGGTGGCAGTCCTTGGTGGTGAATGCAGTCAGAAGCAGATCCTCGGACATACCGGGTGGGGTATTGAAGAAGTGGAGAAGCTTGCTCGGGAATGGAAGCGATTGTTCTTGGAGGTGCTGTACATCTTAAAGATGATCGAATTGTCCGGCAGAGTATACGTGTTGGTGGACTCTGACAAGTAGTTCTGCTTGAAAAAAGCAATTTGAATTTTGCTACCATCATTTCCCTTAATTAAATGTTGTTCAAGTGCTGGATGCTGCACGGTAAGAAAAAAGTACCCAACGGCCAGTTCACTTTTACCTACTTTTGACTAGTTTGTCTCATTTTCTCCTTCTAATGTTGTCAAAAAAGAAGGAGCAAAACCACCCAACAGAGGTAGTAAAGTGTGGGAACCCAACGTTGGTATAATCATTTTTACCTACTGTTGGGTACAACTAACTTACTTTTGGTTAAAAAGCTAGTGGAAAATTCCATACGGACTGCACACAAGTAAATGAAAATTACTTTGACCCGCTTTACCTACTTTTGGGTTCCTGCACTATAGTGCCGAGATGAGTGAAAAGAACTTAATTTTTGGTACTTTTTTCTAACCGTGTGCGTTCGACTGGTTCGACTGCGATGGCGTCTCCCATCTGGACCATGTCGGTACCGAGTCCGTAGACCATCATCACTGCGCCCTGTTGCTGTGTCGGTTGAATGAAGTTGGCTGGTCCGTTTCGGGTCATCGGGTCGGGCCCTTCGTCAGTCCGACGTGTGGTCCGGCCGGTGTTGGTTTCCAGTTTTCCGACGGATGATACTCAGGCGGCAAATAAATCGGTGCAAATCCGTTTCCTCCGCCGGCTCCCAGAAGGGCTGGTTGACTAATTATTGACGTTCGTTGTGCGGGGTCGGCTTTCCGCCCAAGATGGAAGGATCGTGTAGCAACGGAGCTCATCCGTTGCAGGTCCTTGGAGACGGATGCATCCAGTGAGTAGTCTCAACTGGAGTCCGTGTCGTTTTTGAAAACATTGAAAAACAAAACAAAAACAAGAGCTGCTAAAATACCGGGTTGCCAAACAAGGCATTATTCACTAGCAAACAAAAGTCAGTTCAATGACTTCTTGGCACTGCCTGTACAGCTGCGGCACACTGAGGTACACTGAGAAAAATGTTGGCACAAAAATAAGTGTGTAGGGTGACAACCCCTTGATCTGACACCAAGATGGCGGCATCAGGTTAAAGAAAAACTTGGAAATTCCGTCAAATATCCCACAATATGGGTATTTTTTAATCTGGGTGACATCCATCAGACATCGATTTCCGGTTCCTACACGTCACCCCGATTCCAATAATAATGTGGAGTATTTGACAGAATTTTCAAGCTTTTCTCTAACCGGAAGTGGTCATCTTGGATTTAAAAATGACGTCAGACATCGATTTCTGGTTGCTACACGTCTCACCGATTCCAAAAATACCCATATTGTGGGATATTTGACGGAATTTCCAAGTTTTTCTGAAACCGGAAGCCGCCATCTTGGATTTCAAAATGGCGTCAAACAGTGATTTCCTGTTCCTTTACGTCACTCCAATTCCAACAATACCCATATTGTGGGGTATTTCACAGTAGGGTTAACTACCCCATTTCCGGCCTCTTAAGCACAACCCGCACTTAGTCTTAATTAATCTAGCGCAGTTTAGCACCAAACGGAATGTTATTATTACTGATGGCTTCCACATTTTTTTACCTTTCCTTATGTATCATAAGATTTGATAAAGAGAAACCAATCGTTGAGATATTGTCAAAAGTCTAACACTGCTTCTTGACGCCAAACTCGGCCTAACGCATTGAAACGCCAATGAATTCACTTCGGCCTATCGGATGAAGATAAAAATTGATTCGGTCGGAGCACTTCTTTTGTTTTTTTGGAATCACGCGTTCTCATTGACTTCGTTCCGTAGCTTATTAACTAAAGTATCGTTCCAAACGCATAATTGACTTGTTAACTCTGAAATCAAGGATTCAAGTTTTCGGCTTGATGGGCCCAAAATGGGCGATTAGGCCGAAGTAGTTCTCTACCCTATTTCCCACCTTCTCAAAATCGAAAAAAAACCCCTTGTTTGGAATTTACTTGGTAAAAAAATCACGTTATTTGGAATTTACTTCGTAAAAAGAGGGACGTAAATTGAATGCTGCGTAAAAAATGACTTCATAAATTTACTTTTTAAATTTATGGAGGTTTCAGTGTACCCTCGTGATGTTTGTTTCTTCTTCAAAAATGTTTAAAAAGGATGTTTATGAAATTTTATGAAATATTGGCTGCTGATTGATTAAATTCAATTTGAGCTTGATTGGCCGATTCTGTTTGAAGTAAGAACGTCCTTTTTGAAAGTGCAATATCATGAAATACAATAAACCAAATTAGATGCTTATATGCAGACAAAACATGTGTCTCTTGTTTTACTAGAATCCAATTAGTACGGAAAATATTATAGCGGTTTGATATTTTTCACCATGTAATATGTATTATTATGTTGAAGACCGTTTTTTGTTACATTCCTACACATACTGCACACTTATTTTTTGGCACACTCAGTGTGCCTGAAGTGTGCCGGCCGTGCCGAAAGTGCCAGTCAGTCACAGACTTTGTTGGTTTGTGAATAATAGAATGTTTGGCAACCCGGTATTTTGACAGCTTAAATGTTTTGTTTTGTTTGTTGCAATCCGAGTGCGAGAGGATGACATCGGGAATTCAACGATCGAAACCGAGTCGCGGAGCTGGAATGATTTTTTTTATGCCGGAATTGCCGGTGCCGTATAGAGGCATAGCAGCAACAATCGTGGAGTTTAGGTACTTTTATGTACGCTGACTGTGTTTCGGGAAATCTAACTCGGTTTGTGGGGAATCCATGGCGAGACTTTGTGAATATTAACGGTTGCGGTTTCCAAGTGTTGGAGTGTGTCAACAACAAGCTAATTTTGACGCAGGCGCAGAGATAGGAGAGTTTTGCCAATTACTTTAACAATCATTAAAAAAATCTAATTATGGATGCCAAACAGGGCCAATGAATGAGCCCAGGTGTACCCAAATCTGTGACCAACCAATATGTAAGAGCATTTAAATAGTTTTAAATAAATGGATCTTCGCGCGGAAATATTGTTTTAGTTTAGTTTTGGACATTGTAAAGTCAATAGTTTCGCTGTACATAGTCACCATCTGATTAATAGGCCAAAATTTGGCATAGTTCGTAAGATGATAATTTGTAGAACTTGAATGCCGTGATGGTATGTAAAAGTTTAATTTTGTTAATAATTCCATTGAATCAATTCTCTGCGAGACGATATCATTTATGAATGAAACCATTGCAAATTCACGACGCTTTTTTAATGTTTGGATGTTGATGAGCATATATCGAGCTTTATAAGATGGTAAAGAAAGAACAGTTCAACCTAACTTGCGGAATGCATATAGTAAAAATTAGCTTTTGTATTGATTCTATTCTTTCTTCATGTATGATTGAAAAAGAAGACCAAGCTATGCTGCAATATTCTAGTATTGACCTGACATAAGCAATGTACAATGTTTTTATCGTTTACGGATCATGAAAGTTATATTATAGCAGAAGCGTTTTATAAAGCCTAGCATGTTGTTGGCTCTGTTTATAGTTGCATTATAAACCAAAATCCCTAACTTTATCACACTTTTCAACATGTATGTTCCGTTTTCTGGTACATACAAACTCGCAAGCAATTGAAAGGAGTGGAACTCCATTTGATTACCGTCACACAATCCACTTTTATTTTCACTACACAATTTTAACAATTCCGCTTCGCATTATTAATCATTTTAAATTTGAATTTAATTTTAACCGAAAAAGAATCAAGCAGCAAAACAAAAATACGTCAATTCAGCAGCGCGGCCTACTTCGATCATCCAGTTTGATATATTTCACTTTCTGGCGATAATTTTGTCCGATCTGTATGTCACTTTTAGAGTGAATTCGATAAAAATGGCACACACATAAATAGCTGTAACTGTTTAACTATTATATCCTTGAGAAACATTCTGCGAGATTTTTTTTTTCATTGTTGCCTCAAGCTACTAAATTTTCTATTGTCTTCACATGTACGATGTCGCCTCAAAGACGTAAGGTTAGTTTTATATAAATAAAATGCCATATAATAATGTAGTTATGAGGTAATTCTACTGATATGGAACTTCTGAGCTTAAACTCTACGATAACAGCTTCCATTCTACTACGTTTTCTCCTTCGTTCATATATAGATGGTCAGTTCCTATTTAGTTGTGTATATTTGATAAAAGTTTTTCAATGCTCACAAATAGTTGAAATGAAACTCCGCAGTCAAGCTTTTACAGTCGATCCGCCAAAAGAGAAGCTGAATATTTCAAATCAATCATGAAATCTATTATTATAGCTGATACGAACCCATTATCCCAACCTCTATCCGGGCGTATCTCAATTATACCATTGATTACACTTGACCTTGGGTTTGCCTGTTCGGTCCAAGTAGGCTCTTATTGCCACCGACTTAGCACCAGCACACTGCGATGAGAATAAACAGCTTCTGTCATCGGCAATCGCGAGCGAGAGGATTTCTTAATTGAAGCAGGCAGCAAAATCGAAAAGTCGTCGTCGTCAATGCCAATTATGGCACACTGAAGAGCGAAGACGAAATCTCGTTTACTTCTAAGAAAGGGCGCTGTGATGATACCATGGCAAAACGGTTTAAGACTTATTTTCTAGATGAATTTTCAAGTGAGTTTCCGGAAAACGCAGAACGAGAGTGAAACTTGTCGAAATTATTTCAACTATAGCTTGATGTCCTAAATGTCAGCCTAAATAAATTTTACGATAATAGTCGATCGTATTGTTCAGATGAAGAATTGCTCTAAGAAAATTTTAAGAACATGAGATTTTTATCGGGAAACCCAATCGTTAGATCCATATAAGCCAACATTAGAGCCATTTTCCCTACATGGCGTATGAGTCAGGAAAAGCCCATCCTTGTGTTCTGTATTATCTTAACGACCCCTGGTAAACCACTTGTTGTGCACCCTCCAATCAGCTACCCTCTCGGTTTCATTTCATTCACAAAGCACTCACAAGGCACTCATTTTCCCCACGATGCGCAAACGCGAATTGAGAAAAACAAATTTTCTCCACAATTCTCGCAACGAACGACCTGCTGATGATCATAGTAAACATTGAGCACTCATCTGTCACTCCTTTCGTGTGCTGTGTGGAAACAGCTCATGCCACCGTATGACTGCTCTTCCATATAGATTGCCACACCGCCAAAGATTGTCTAGAACAACCAAAACGACCAACGCCAGATGGACCAACCCGTCAGTCGACGTTGGCATGTTGTTGTGAGCGCACCGAAATCACCGAGATCTCCTTCATCAAAGAAGAAACTGTTGCCATTCATTCTTGGATACTGGATACTTCAGAGTTTTGAATCTCCAGATGTGCTGTGAGGAAAAACGTAACGCCACCATCCGGTAGTTGTGTGATTTGATTTGGTTTACTATAACGACGTCAAACGTTGAGCGCGTCTGCTGTGCTGCCTTTTTTCACACAAAACAGGAAAAAGAGATGTTTACATGGAAATGCGAAGGTTAACTCAAGTGGTCCAAAGTGCGCTCGATATCGATGATTTTCCCACGCCTTGGATTTTAGTTCGAGTGTTACACCATCGACATTGAAGGCAGTGATTTCCACGAAG